ATAAATATAGTCCGTGAACACTCAGATGTGGAATATAAATATTGAAGTGCCTCCCAAGCTTTAGACATTATTAATATATGGAGAAGAGACCTTAATAATATAATATTATTTTATGATTCTATCTTACTTTATCAAATTTACTTCACTCTTAGTAGTCATAAACGAAATGAGTGAACTCGAGCCTTCCAAGACAATTTCCATCTACAGAAACCAATTTTGATTGGCATAGACAATTCTGAAGTCTATCAGATTGTCTTCACCTAATGGCATGTAATTTATGATAAGATTTAAACTCAATAGATTCATTCTCACAAAATCTAATTTAATAATTCTTTTCTATATTCTCTAAAGTTGAACATATCCAAGTTCTGGCAATTTCTAACTATCCATATCTTCTCTCTCAGACTTTCAACATTTACAACGTGCCCGAGTATCAATTGAGGGGATTCTAGTACTAGGTACTTGGAAGTCCACAGACTCCTTGGTAGGATAACTATATATAGGTTCTGGATTTACTAAAGTTAATATACCCCTCCAGCTTACTTATAAAGCTGAAACATCTTAAAGGATAATTTGAAGAGTTGCATCTCATGACTATAATGTGATTTCAATAAAACCTTCATAACATCATATATATTACTGCATATAAAAAAAACCTCTGACTACTTCTGGAAAGTAGAATAGAAGAAATCTATCAAAGAGGTATTAAGTTATTAGACTTCAAAGTTAGGATTTCTAATTAGAAGCTGAAAATAACAAAATACTTTCATTATGATAATCTGTAACTACTTCTACAGAGCCATAGAGGCTCTAAGAAGTAGTGAGTATACTATCAATACCTATCTGAAGGCTGTTCAATATTAGTTGGTTCTGAAAATAGGATTTCTTTAAGGGTAATTCTCGAAGAGATAAGGCAGACAAGGGGAAGCTGCTTAACCTCAAAAGGCCTAATAGGTAGTAGATATGAAGTATTAATACACTGTCTACTAAAACTGCATTATACATTAGTATCTAATATTTAAGCTAGCTACTTTGTAAAACTGGAAGAGACTACTGGAATAATAGTCATTTAGACTAAAGTTTCAGGAAAATTTCTATTCTACTCTATAAATTAAAGACTACTAGTAAGAAGGTAATCGTACACCAACAAACAGTGAAGACTTTATGAAAGATTTTAGGATCAAATAGTGTTTACACTTGTTATTATACTTTTAAGCACTATTATGTACAAAAAATAAGAGAAGTTCCAAGTTATATACTAATTAGATGTAGTATACAAATGCTTAAATATGAAATATAAATATTGAAGTATCTTCTGAGCTTTATTAATATTATTAAGCTATAGTAAAGAGATCTTAACAATATAATAAGTTTTATGACAAACTTTCATTACTTTTTATTTACTATTCTACTTAGTGAGTACTTAGTAGTTATAAACAAAAAGAACATTACTTAGCATTCCTAGATATATCTTTGTCTTTCTAAAAGATTCTAGCTTAAGCCTCCTTGATGTATACTAGAGTTGGCTTCTACCTAACACTTTTCAATAGGTTTTAAATTTAGCAAAAACAGGAATCAATAGATAACTTATATATCTTAATCTTGTAGCTCTACTTTTATATTTTCTGCTGTATGCACTAGTACTCTATCTTATATAAGCTTTAAGCAAATTATTTCTTAATAATATAATTTTGAATATATATAAATTACTAGCTCAGTATGTGCCAATGTGTAGTAGCTTTCAGAGTTAATTAAGTCCTAATTCTTTTTTCAAAATATGTTTAAATCTTGTATTTTTCTATGAAAGCAGCTTTAAAGCATACCTATTTTCCATTCATTTTTTAGTATTTTTCTACTAGACAAGTTGGAACTCACTCTTGCTACCTCTTTTTGTTACTCAAGTTTATATATGTCTGCTCCTAGTTACTAAGGTCTCATCATTTCAAGGAATCTAATACTACTATTTCATAGTCTAATTTACATGATTGTAAACATATTGAAGTCTTACAATATAATTTCACTATATAATTAGTAATTCTTTTGTAATCAAATGCATGTAAAATTTCTCCTTAATTAAGGTTACTTGAATAACTTTTCCTTCTATATTTAACTCATACTCTTCAGCCAGCTACTGAAATGAGGCTATTGATTATAGGTAAATACATATATATATATATGCAACATCCTAGATTTATAGTTAGGTATAGAGAGAAGTATGACCTGATTACTTCATTGGAGTAATCAGAAAATTACATGTATACTCAATCTACTGAACAGAAAATTCGGTTCTACCTTGAATTTCTCTAATCTTCCATTCAATAGAATATAAAAGTTAGCAATCTCTCTTATCTCATATTGAATTGAAACTTATTAACCGCTCGATTGAAGTAGTAGGTATTTTGATTCATTGAGAAATGTCCTGGGAATCAGTATTTATGAAAATATTATACATTTATCAAGCTACTATCCCTTAGAGAGCTGAAACAACGAAATTCAGTACCGCTAAGAAATTACGCAATTGACTGCAAGTGAGCACAGGGATCCAAATTACTAAATCAACATAGTGATATCAAAAAAAAAAAAAAAAGCTAGACCGAAGACCTTCCTGTACTGTGATATAATGGAAAACAAGAATAATAAAGGGCTATATAATACCGTTCACACTAGGATCACATTTGGTGTATTTTCATCTCTGAACCTCCTTGCTTGTAATGCCAGTGATACTATAGACACCATGCTTGTGTAGTTCTCCATACAAGTATAGGGCCCTTCAAGGTTCCACCACCACCTATTGGTTCAGACTTCTGTGAGTTCTTTGTGATATAGGTTTGGCGTACTGGATTGCATAGGCGGTAGTGGCACAGGGTTCGGTAGAGGAAAGTAAATTTAGGCTTTGGAGAGAAGTCTTTCTGACCGGCAGTAACAAGGACACTGCTAAGTGAAGACTGGAACATGTAATGAGTAGTGGGGAGCCGTTGGTTTGTACAAGACGGTAGGCATTAATGATCGCAGTGTCAAGTAACCAGTAAAAAAAGGTTTGGCAATTCTGCCGTGCCATACACTATGTGGAAAAATATAATTGGAGCTTGTCAGCAGTATCTACACTACCTATATATTGGTTATAGTCATTATCGATCTTTAGAATTACTAATAGCTTGCGATATTCTACAGCGGAAAAGGACCTTAATGCAGGTACTGCATTGGTACTGGTGTCTCTTGGCTTTCAACAGTGTTTCTCTACCCAAGAGGTATTAGGTTCAAGATCATAGACCGCAGATAATAAATGCATTGTATTATTATCCTGCCACAAAAAAGCCATAACAGGAGGAATCCCCCACCTCTGTGGTCCAAATTGCTGGTTTCCTTTTGGCTCTTTTGCTGTATTAGCTATGTGATGCACTACAATCCCAGTAGCAAAGTTCTGTTCAAGGATACCTGTTACCTTATTTTTATTGATATTTACTGCTGCACTGTACTGTACTATAAGCTCCTATTCCATAATCAAGAAGTCATGCAACTAGGCATATATTTGAAAAGTAATTATCTATGTAGGCAGTAAAAAAAAGCATACAATATTGTAGTATTGTAAGCATCTGTAGTACAGCAGAAGAGGTGGGTGAGAGTGAATAGGATTTTTTTTGCTGTTCTGTGGTAACAAAGCTCACAATACATGAAGTAAGCTACCAGTCATAGGTGTATCCTGCATCACACAATGCCAGTACCTTATATCCTAACCTAATAGACTTATTTGGTATTTAAATTGTATGAGCAGAGCGACAAAGAAACCGAACTATTATTTCATCAATTGCAATATTTGTAAATGGAAGAAAACTGTACTTTGAACTCCTCCAAATACCATTATTCAAAGATTCAAGCTTCTCATACCAGCTTTGAGTAGGAATTGGAGACTTGGCGGACTCTGAGATATGCAGGTAATGCTTTAGCTGTTGAAACCGTATGTATCTCATCCTATATATTGGTTCCAGAACTATACCTCTCACTTGCTACCAGAAAACCTTTAGACTAGCACTTCTCGCTACACCTAAGTGAATCAATATTGCTAAAAATATTCAAAGTTCTGAAGCTGTGGTAGGGTACAACTTCTGAATAAGAGGGTAACAACTATCTCTCAGGCCAGCATCATGTATACTGGCATACATGTTTGTATGCTTGACTAGAATTTCAAGTTGTTTCTGCAAAAAAAAACAATGAGAACAACTGATAGGGGTCAGTAAGTCTGGTTGCTAGCCTTATAGCTTGACTTTGGTGTAGCAGAAATAGTCCTTGGAATGGTATATGGGACAGCCAATAAGGGAAATTTCAGATCTTTTCAGCAGCCAAGAGTGATTCCGTTTCTCACCCCTTTGCCTTTACCGTTGCCTTTCTCTTTTCCCCATCAGTTATCATGGGATTTTTATTTGAACATGATAACCCGGCTTGTTCAGTTCAAGATTCAGTACCTACTGTGTTACGTTTAGCATCCTACATGCATATTGGGCTTGGCCTTGTACCATTCAGTGGTAGGACAAACAATGAGACTCACTGCTGAATAAATTTGTATCTCACCCTCCCAGGTACTACTTGCATGCTTGATTTTCTTGTTCAGGGAATTTTTCTTGCAGGATTCAGAATGATTGAGGATTTTTGTATCAATCTTACAAGATTCAGCTTCTCACAATATTGCTTAGTGCTTATTCACAATATGTCTTAGACAGCACCGTTGCGCAATTTCTTGGCGGCACTGAACTTCGTTGTTTCAGCTCTCTAAAGGATACCCAATTCACTCCCTGTATCCGTACTAGCTTATCCATCCTTGTTAGTAGAATATACAATACTTAGAAACTCTACCTCCGTATAGTCGACTGCAGTCGACGGGTCAGTCCCGTCCCGTCCAGTTGCCGTCGGATGGCCGTCGACGGTCGACCGACTGGACAACTGGGAGCACTGATCAGCTTATATGGCGTTTGGCCTTTAAGAATGCTTTTAGTGGTGACGACTAGTTTGAAAAAAAAAAAAAAAAAAATTTAGTTTCTAAACTATGAAGTCTCACCGACTCCCACCTTCCACCTTCCAACGACAACTATCCTTCCTCGCTAACCACTTCCTTTCTTTGTTCCTCCGCGTATGCCAGGGTCCCGGATATTAGTAACAATAGTAACGATTAAAGAAAAGAAGGAAAACCTCGGAAGAAAAAAAGCTGAAGATAAGGAGAAAGAAACGGGAAAGAAAAGCAAATGTGAGAACAACACCTAACATGAGCGTATGGGGTGGCTAATATAACAAGCTCGTAGTTGATTAGCCAAACGAGTAGCAAGTAACTAACATGTAAGTTGGCGATCCAAAGAATATGTATCATCTCGGTGCGTTATTCGTAATCATAAAGCAGTATTTCAAGGAAAATCATCAAACAGAATTTCGCAAAAGTAAGAATGGTTGAGAGAAGACATTTTAGAGGAAAAGAAAAAGGAGATTCATGAAAGTGGAGGATGAAAGAAAGCAAAAAATGGACAGCTTAGCAACAGAAGCGTCAATCTATCTTTCCCCTTTTAAAGTCTTCTTGATTCCTTGCCATTTTGCGAGTTCGACTTTATTAGGCTTACAACCAGGGTCGTCAGGGTCGCCACGAATTTTCGGCTGATTTTTCTCTCTAATCATTTCGAAACGATAGACAGCGTTCTTTTTATCTAGTAACTCGTAGGCTCGGATGGTGTAAAGACCATCATAGCGAAGTCCTTCAGCGGGCGCATATGGTGACTGGGACTTGGCCGAACGGAAGAGACGGATCTTGGTTCCGTTCTTGAAGGAAATCATAAGTAGCTTCGTATTGTGAGACGGAATACGGTCACCGGGCTCGCGGTCCTCGGCAGGGTCGGCTGCGTAATTAATTGGAGCGTCAATTCCCATGGTACCGCAGTAGAGGACTCTATCAAGTTCATCGAGGTCCGGATAAAGAGCACCACCTGAGACAATAACGGAGATCGCACCGATGACATTGTTGCCAGAGATACCTTTAAAAGTGAAAGTAGGTTAATAAAGGGACAAACAGCAAAATGAGAATAGCAAAAAACTAAACTTACCAGCTTCCAATTCGCCATGAGCCCCATCTCTTAAAGCACAGATTTGAAGTGGCCACCATTCACCAACAAACAATTCATGATTCCCCTCAACATTATCATCCCTTTTCCAATTATAATCCTCTTCGAGCTTATAGTGCCTAGTACGTTTAACGCTCTTTGCACCTCTTCCCTTAACATGTGTAATAGTCTGATTCAGGTCAACTCCGCGAAGTAAGTGGGGGTCGTAGTCCCCGTTCCTCCATCTCTTAAGAATCATCCGAGCGTCCAAAGAAACATCCTCCGGAATATCAAAACGATTTTCCTCAAACCTAAGTAATTGCTTCATAGCTCCAGAAGAATGCACAATCCTCTGATCCACATTCTCAAACGGAAGTTTGTAAAGTGCTTCTCTAACAAACTGCCAGTCTGCTGCATTAGGGCTAAGCTTGTCCATGACTCTCGCAATTGTGTCTCGATGGACAGAAAGAGCGATAAGATCACTACGGGATATAACACGATTGCTAGAGAAGCGAGTCTGCTCAGAAAGACGATTACTAAACCCAGAACACAAATCAGTACATGGCTTTTATCTTCGATTTGATATATCACTCGCTTTCAACTGAAGGATTCAGGGATCTCTCTCCAGACATACCTTGCTACAACAGGGTTACGCTTATTACGACGCTGTAAAAGTCTCGCAGCAGCCTCATCCCTCAATCCAGGTCCAACTTCATAATTATTATCTTCGGACTCGGCATGGGCTTCGCGTTTGATAGCAGTAGTATTGCGGGCGGTACTGGACTCCGCAACACTGGAAGCGCCAGCTACTGCGGAAGAATGTTGATTCTTCATAATCCGCTTGAACCTAAGATCCCGAACCGTCTCAATCCTTCGACGTTCAGCCATGATTTTTTCCCCCCTGTTTATAAGCTTGATGGGAGAAGATGAAGGTGGAGTTGGTTGATAGTCGTTGATGAAGTTCCTGTAACTCAAGACAAAGTCTATTGTATCTGTAAGGCCTATGGATTGGTTAGTTGCTAATTAAAGAAAGGAAAATCCTTTCCTGAAGTTCAGGGTATAAGGGAGGAAAGAAGAAGGTGGGGGAAATGAGCTCCTTATATACTTTTTGTTTAGTGGCCTGCGAGGTGACGCGTCAGTACGCGTAAGGTGACTCCTCGTGACTCACACGAACTCGCTTGAGGTATGAGATGGAACGAAAAAAACAAAAAAACAAAAGATGGATATAATAACGAGCTACCGAGTTGAAGTTGAAAGCTTACCAGAGAACGGACAATGCGGGTATTTTATCGTGCGTCTTACTGCCCGGTTATCGATGGAAAGCCAAGCTTTCTGTAACGCTGACACCCGTGCAGCGGTTTGGTTTTGGTGGCGGTAAGGATGCAGGATGAGAATGGTTGCGAAAGTTGTGGATGGTCAGGTGGAGGTGGGAGGAAAAGAAGGGAACAGGAATGGGGCAACCGGGGCAACCGGGAGCTCAGAAGAATGATTATTTTCTCACTAGTCCTTTTATGGATGCCAAGATCAATTTTATAACTTGGGTCTCCCAACACTCCCGGAAGTTTTGGCATGACTCACACTAAAAACCAAGTGACGTCCAAATACGGTAATTGTGCATGAGCCTATTGTACGGTACTCACGCGGCTACGCCAAGATTGCCCCGGCGAGCTGAACTCTCGGTTGACGCGAGGTAGAGTTCGCACCGAAAGACACGTAAAATACGGAGGTACCCATCCAAGGTGAAGATTATTATCTATTATGACAAGCTTTTCAGAAAAGCACGATCATGTTACCAAACATGCCAAGCCAAGCACATTATGCCAAGACAATATGTCAGAACTGTAACATTAACTCTTAAATTCACATTTCAAGGTAACATGTGAAATATATTATGTTCATTAAAGTCAACCATTATGTACTTTGAAGCACTACTCATAAATTCTAATGCTATAGAGCTAAAGAGAGGATCTGACAGAACTTATTATTTAATTTCTACCTATTTCTGACTATCCAAGCCAGCAATATTACTTTTTAGACAATTGTAAACTTGATTTTTATATTACAATCTACAAAAAGGAGATTATTAAACTCAATCATTGCATATAGTAATAAGATACCCACAAAACCCAATTCCATGTAGTTAAGGAGATGAATCAAGTAAATATAATATTTGATCTCTAACTATTTCTGACCATTAAAGCTTGTAATATTACTATCTAACAACTTATTCTGTACAACTTGCTTATCCTGTACACTAGACTGTTATTCTTATAATCAATCAAAATGAGAGATCGTATTTAGATATAGTTGAAATTTCTTCAGAAAATAAGATCTTTACTGTTAGCTTAACATATATAGTAGCGTTTTCTAGTACTTTAAATTTCTACAAGCTTAAAGCTTTAATAAGTAATAATATATAAAATAGTATTACAAAAAAAAATCTTTTCAAAAATTATATATTTCTATTAAAAGTCATAAATAACTTTGTGATAGGAGATACTATGATATTACAAATGACTTGTACTAGTAAAACAATTATCTCCAGATGTTAGTGTAATTTAATATTATAATATTTTAACTACTTAATTTATAATCTAAGAAACTAGGTGGTAATATACAGGTACCTACTAGTATTCAATAATGACTTATTTATCCAGGTTGGCTAGGCTGCACTATAACATGCATCCTATCCTCTGGCAAGAGGTAGAACCACTCGAAGAAGATGACGATGATATTGCAATAATAATTGCAAGGGCACAATGAAAGGATGCCATACTCCATGAAACCAAGATATACAAGATACAGACATCCTCTAACAGTAATAGGTAACTGCAATACAAGGCCTCCAACAACTCTGAAGAAGATACCCCATGAGTTTTCAAGAAGAAAAACAAATCCTCCCAGAAATCGAGACGACAGAAAGAAGAATGCTTTTATTGCAGAAAAACAGGACACATGGCAAAGAACTGCCCTACGAAGAAAGGGAAAAGAACAGGGACTAAGCAAGAGGTATCAGCTTACAATATTGAGAGCAATAGTAATGATACCCAATCCAGTAAATATAAGGAAATCCATATCTGATATATCGATGTGAAATGCAATAGTGTTCAACTACCCACTACCTTCAAGACATACACTACCCTAGAAGGTACTATTCTGATCAATAGCAAGAAGGCTTGAGTCCTTTTCGACACTGGCACAATTGGTAGAGATATGATCAACAATGCCTTCATCTCTGTCTATGAACTCCCAACTCGCAACCTGAACCAGCCCATACTAGTCAATATGGAAGTAAAGGGAGCACGATCCACAAGCCACAAAACTTGTAGTGCAACTATCCGACTTGGTTCCACCATCGTACCTTCCCAGGAGATGCTAGTTGGAAACCTAGTCAAATACGATGTCCTGATAGGGATGCCATTCCTGAATGGCCACAAAGCTATAAGCAGATGTGGGGAATCAACCATCGACTTCCCAGATCAGAAGGTCAGAGTCTCATGCAAACCAACAAGCAGAGAGTACTGAGCTACAGTCTGTAAAGCAACTGCCCAATGCCTATTAGATGAGTACTCTGATATCTTCCCTGATCAGATTCCCGAAGAACTTTCCCCTATAAGGGAAGTAAACCACCATATCCGCCTCCAAGACTCCTCTAATCTTAAGAACTAACCTACCTACTTTATCCCTGATGCATACAAAAACCCGCTATGTAACTGGATAAACTAACAACAAAGAAGAGGAGTTATCTACCGAGCGGAAGTACCAGGTGCCGCATCTATGTTTGTCTAACCCAAAGCAGACGGTAAAAGAATTTGCCTCTTAGTTGACCTTGAACTACGGAATGAAAATACAGTTATGGACAGTTCTGCTATCCCAAACCAAACCCAAATCCTAAATGCAGTTGAAAGGGCTAGATTCTGAAGCAAGATTGACCTAAGCGATGCCTACTTTCAGACAAGGTTAGATCCAGAAAGCAAATGCTATAACAGTTTCAAAACCCCCTTCAGAAGTTTCATTAGCCGAGTTATGTTACAAAGCGATATGAATACGCTCACCACCTTCATACGCATTATGGAAAACCTCCTAAGCGAATACCTCCACTATTTTGTATGGGTTTACATAGACAATATTCTCATTTACTCAAACTCCAAAGCAGAACATGCCTACCATATAGGTTTGGTTTATACCAGACTAAGGAAAGCTAAGTTCTACACTAGCAGAAATAAATCAATCTTGTTTGCCAATACGCTCGACATTCTAAGACATGTGATAGAAGATGAAGGAATACATGTAGCACCAGGAAAAATATCCTGTTTAACAGAATGGACAACACTCCAAAATCAAAAGGAACTCATGCGATTCTTAGGACTAGTCAACTATATCTCCCAGTTCCTACCTCATAATGCCACTGTGATAGCACCCCTCACAGACCTTACCGGCAATGCAGAATTTGTTGGGACCCACACTCATGACCAAGCATTTACCTACATCAAGGAATTGATTAAGAATACTGATGTTATACGGCCTATTGACTACAGTAAATCAGACCCGATATGGCTGATTACTGATGCATTGGATGTTGGAGTTGGAGCATGGGTTGGACAAGAAGCCTCTCATGAAACGGCAAGACCGGCAGCATTATACAGCAGGAAGTTTGCTAATACACAGATGAACTATGGAACTATAGACAAGGAAGTCCTTGCAGTGATCGATACTCTTGCCGCTTTCATCCACATCCTGATAGGCAATACCTTCACCATTATTACCGACCACTAACCTCTCACTAATCTTAAGGCGGAAAAGGTCCCTGGAAGGAGAAGAATATAATAGATAGGAGAAATCAGCAAATATAATGCAAAAATCATCTATACACCTGGAAGAACTAACTATTTAGCTGATGCTCTCTCCCACCTATATGAGAACCAAGAACTCACAAACCCTCCGCTTGTTTATGACTATATAAGACAAAGCAAAGGTAGTCCTGATCACACCTTCTATGAACAAGAACCATCGTTGGCTACTGCCAGTATTGCCTCTCCCTCTAATCCTTTTTCTTACACCAGGTACAGAGCTGCTGGATCTGAATGCGGAAAAGATATTGATGATGAGTGGAAAGATAATTGCACCTTCTGCAGTACACCTCCTCACGAGCTTGAACAAAGCAGACTCTACTGGTCCCACTGTTACCTTGATACCTGTCCCTTTCACCAGACTGAAATTAAATTTGGCAACAGATACAAATGACCATACTATACCTCTGCAGAAGATTCCAAAAACACCAGTTTCAACACTGCAGAAGGAGCGGAAGAAATAATTGATGACGTAAATGATGGATCAATCCAAACTGCCCTTACCTTCGATCCCATTCTAAGACAATACCAAGGTCTTGAAGAACTCGAACAAGCCGCAGCCTACATGGATGCAATATCTTACCTACACCCTCTGCAGTCAGTACCGCCATCCTCTCCCCCCATAACTGATTCACAACCGCTATACGGTGGACCCCTTCAAGTATACAACAATGAAACTATAGTTTCTGTCATCTCTCTTATGATTCCTGAGCATTGCCACCAGCTCTGAGAAACCTTTGAGGAGGAAGAAAACCCTATCGAACCGACAAGAGAATCCCTCATTATGGATAATGAACTAGATATTAGATCAACTACAGATGAATTAACCTCCTCCTTCCAAGGCCAGATGATAGCAGGATACTGCCATGACCCAATCTATTTCAAAGCTATGGATCACTCCAGACATGGAGATCTCACCTCCTACAACATATCTAATGGAATGGTCTATACCAGCACCCATTATAGTGAACACTGTCTATACATTCTAAAAGACCATATGTTTAATGGAATGACTATTAGGGAATATGTCATTACTGAAATCCACAACAAAGTATACCATAGTACGGACCGCAACCTCTAATATGCCTCAGAATATGTTTATTGGTCTGAAATGCAAAAGGATTTCTGTGATTTCATTAAACAATGTGAACTCTGCCAGGCAAATAAGGAACAAACACAACTACCTGAAGGGAAAGTGCAGATCCTTCAGATACCGTGCAAAATATTTGAATCCTATGCCATCAATTTCGCAGGACCATTCAACAAGTCTACCGGTTATGACACTATCTTGGTAGCAGTGGATCAGTTTTCTAGATAAACATGGCTTATACCAATAAAGGTTACCAACTCCTCTAAAGACACCTAGAATAACCTCCAGTAATA